GACAATAACACTGAAAGATATTACAGTGACCTTTATTGAAGACACACGAGATAACCAATATACACTCATGGAGACAAAACTTAAGGAAGTTGTACCTTTTAGCATGTATATCGGGATTCAGACAATAACTCTGAAAGATATTACAGTGACCTTTATTGAAGACACAGGAGATAACCAAGTGTTAACAGCCTCTGTTTCCTTCAAAAAAAAAAAAAAAATAGATGACTGGTGACATCAAAGACTTTCAACCTCCTTAAGTTTTATCTATTAGTATATTTAAGTAAAGACCTGAAGAAAATCCTATGACTTGAAAGCCAGCCATATTATTTTAACAAATGACTGTTGCTAAATTGATTTGTGGAATCTTTCAATTTAAAATCATACCAGTAGTAGGATGAGGGATATATTTACATATTTCCAGTACACAACCATGATAAAGCACAATTTGGATTATAGATTAAAATACAAGAAAATAAGACCTAATCAAAATAAATTAATAGTGTCTGACATTTCAGTAACAGCATTGTCAGCATCATCAGACAAAAGAATAAATAAAATTTTAAAAATGTGAAATTTTTTTTTTTTTTAAATTTATTCTTCAGTCTGATGATGGTGACAATGCTGTTGCCGAAATGTCACACATTATTAATTTATTTGGATTAGGTCTTATTTTCTTGTAGTACACAACCAGTTAAAATCATCAACCCACTAACATGGAGATTGTATTATGATGTATACATGTTGGAATAAATATTTAAAAATGGGTTATTGCAAAAGAAAGAGATATGTACAATCCAATATTCTTATCTCTCTGACATTTTTTCCCACTCTTGCAACATTCTCCCAATCTCTCCTGTTATCTCAATATTTTTTCTTTTAACTTTCCGCAAGATTTGAGATAGCAAGTTTTGGTTGCCATTTACTTCACAGCTGATTGATGCCACATTGCTTTTTTTCTGTCACTGATGGATGTGGACAGCTTTATTCCAGTTATAATGTATTTGAACATATATTGGTATATATTGCTTTTCAAACAACTTCCTAGATACAAGAAAATAAGACCTAATCCAAATAATTAAATAATGTGTGACATTTCGGTAACAGCATTGTTACCAACATCAGACAAAAGAATAAATGAGAAAAATTATCAGCTGTGATATTTATTCTTTTGTCTGATGATGGTAACAACACTGTTACCGAAACGTCACATACTATTTAATTATTTGGATTTGGTCTTATTGTATCTATATTCTATAATCCAAATTGTGCTTTATCAACTTCCTATATTCCTTACAATTTTTCCAAATAATAATCTCCATAGATATATAGGAAAAAGTCCAAGAATGAAAAGTCAAACACTATTTATTTATTTGGTATTGGTCTTATTACCTTGTCTTTTATCATAATGATAAAACACAAGCCTCTTGGTTCTTCTACTAGTGTTTCACCTGTGTAATCAAAAATATATAGAAATGTAAAACACATAGTCTATATAAGATAAAGTGGCTACATTAAAAATATATATTATGATGCATTAGCACTCCATCTGTAATGAAAATTCTAAACTATTATAGACACGTATGATTCTTTTAAAGATTAAACAATTTCTACTATCCTTACTGCAATGGAAAAAATACCCATTCTAAGAGTCTAGCATCAGTATCGCTATAAAAGAAAGATCGAAAATGAAATAAAATAATGGTATGGTAGATTAAACTGGTGAAACTGCTGGGAGGGTTCACCACTGATGAGCCAGGCCCTCACATTAATTTTTCCATTGCAGTAAGGACAGTAGAAATTGTTTAATTTTTAAAAAGAATCTTACGCGTCTATAATAGTTTCGAAAAATATATGTATTCATTTATAATCCAAACTCCAATTTGTGTATTATCAAAATTAAAATTAAGTTAGATAAGGTGAGGACAGTTGCAATGTACATAATCAGGAAGTTGGTTCAATGCAACAACATAAGGCAACTTTTTATTTATTGCTGGAATTTGTGCCATGGCATGTTTCCAACTACTGTGGAATATGGCTATTCCCATCAGAGAGAGTTCTAGCAGCTTATAACCACAAAGGGTTTCTATACATACAGTATGTAGTCATTTGCTCAGTTAACTTATCTCATCCAAACAGAGCTCTGGCACATTTGTAAGTGCAAAAGTCGAACTGCTTTTCACATGTGTAGAAATGTGGTGCACTTACAGTAAAAGCAATCATCAACTTCTATCCACAATAATTATCATGGCCTCTACCACGTGTACTAGGGATGAAAAAAAAACAACCTATCTCATCACTCCAAAGTTCTGGAGGAGTGTGGGAAATGTGTCCTTACTATAGAGTCCCATAATCCTAGGAAGGAAGAATCCAGAACTAGCACCTCCATGTGATGGAGAGTGGACAAACTCTCTAGAGCAAGGGTCAGCAAACTTTTGAGTCAGAAGAGTCAAAAATTACTAATTACAAAATTTCAAAGTTTTTAATAGTACTCGCATAAATAATATTTGTGTATGGAAAATATATAAAGAGTCGCAGCTTCACATCCAAAAAGTCGCATGTGACTTGTGAGTCCTGGTCTAGAGCAACTAAAACAAGGAGAGCAGAGACCAGGATAAGTCTCCAAATCCATTCCAATATGAAGACAGACACTCAATTGCCCTTGAACTTGGAAACATGCTATAAAAGTGGATCAACCTACTATTTGACCAATGACATATGGATTCAAAAGGAAAGTGGAACCACCACAATATTTTCCCATGAAAATCCTCAATAAATGGACCAAGACAACCAAGTCTTACAACCAGACTATGGATCAATCATCTTGGAGGATCCTGATTGAGTAGGCACACTATGATTCCACAGCATTATATCCCGGAAAAAGGCCACACAGTGTTCTCCCAATCCCTTGTGAACTGGCGAATCCTGTATAGGGCGAGAGGCCCTAAATAAAGGCTTTGTTGTTGTTTGTTGTTGTTGAGTAGGCACACTTATCTTAAGAATGATTCATCAGAAATACTAAACACAAGGTAATAAGACCAAATCCAAATAAATAAATAGTGTGCATTGTTTCGGTAACAGTCTTATTACCATCTTCAGACAAAAGTGCTGAATTGAGAAATTTTACCACAGCATGTTTTAAATAGTTATCAGGTGTGTAATTCTATTTATTTATTTGGTCTTATTACCTTGTGTTTATAATCTACTAGTCCAAATTGTGCCTTATCATCAGAAATACTAATAAACCCATCTTAGCAAATCCTTAAAGGACAAAAGGACTGAATAGCACAGATTCACTAAAGAAAGAGGGACAAGCACCGGTTCTGTCCTCCCAAGAGAACAAAAGTCTTTGATTTCCAGACTTAAGTATGGTCATCTACGGACAATGACTTTCCAGAATGGTTGCAGGGTTTTCCCACTATGTACTAAGTGCAATTCTCAGCCTGCAACCCCAAAACACATTAATGACTGTATTGACTCATCCATTGATGAGCTCTACTCTTCCCTGGCAGACACCATCAAAAATCTCAAGCTTTACAAGCTTGATACCTTAATATGATTGAGTGGAGATAAGAAAGAAGAAGAAGACTAAAGAAATTTTTTTGCTATAAATGCATTCTCTTTTTAAAAGCTCTTCATAGCTGATTTCCCACAAGTGTAAATATTCTCTAGTAAATAGATGATAAATTAATAATAAACTGTGTTGAATTGCCATAGCACAATGGCTAACTTGTAAGAAGGATAATCAAATTATATTTACAACAATGGCAAATCATTGGCCATAATAGCCTCAGCGGTGTGTGTGGCACGCAGCTGCACTTTTAGGCTGCTGTGGAGAATAGAGGCCAAATATGAGACCAGCAGTTGCTGGCTGTTTCTGTAAAACATTCAACAGGAAGAACATGTCTGTGATTGGTTCTTTTGTTTAAATAAATTATCTTGTTGCTATAATCTTTCTCTCTCTCTCTCTCTGCCAGCTATGCCTTAATTATTGACGTCAGCCCCAATTAATGAATATAATTTAATTAACATCATTTAGGATATCATTTTTCAAAATGTTTATATAACAATTTTTTTCATTTATTTAGAAAGCAAAAATTCAAGGTAATAAGACCAAATCCAAATAAATAAATAGTGTGTGACGTTTCAGTAACATTGTTGTTACCATCTTCAGACAAAAGTACTGAAACTACAAAAGTACTGAACACACTATTTATTTGAATTTGGTCTTATTACCTTGTGTTTATAATCTATTAACCAAATTGTCCCTTATCGAAAGCAAAAATTAGTTGTAGGTTGTATATCAGAATTACAAAGTTAAAAAGATGATTTTATGGAGAAATAAAGAATTTTTAAAGAAGAAATTTAAATATGGAACTAGAGAAATGGATATTTAAATATTTTGTTTGATCAGTTTTTCTGTATATGGCTATGAAACTTTGACAAAGATTAAAGAATTGGAGCAGAAAATAAACTCTTATGGCATCTGTGGTGTAATATAGTAGAACCTCCATGAGAGGACACTCGCGCTAGAGGACACCTCTCTATAAAAGACAGTTTTTCATTATCAAAATTACCATTTTTACTATTTAGAAACTCTCCGTTAAGAGGACATCTCTCTCTAAAGGATACTTTGGCTCTGTAATTAGATGTTGTCCTTTATAGGGAGGTAGTTCTACTGTATAGGATTTCTCAAGATCAAATGAAGAGTTAGGGTGACAAACAAAGAAATTTGGAGGTAATTTAACAGAGAGTATAGCCTTCAAAATTTTTTTTTTTTTTGCTTATCCCTAGTACACGTGGTACAGGCCATGATAATCATGGTGGGTAGTTAGCGACTGCTTTTTACTGTAAGCGCACCACATGTCTACACATGTGAAAGCAGTTCGACTTTGCACTTACAAATGTGCCAGAGCCCCGTTTGGTTACTTGCACTCGCTGGTGGGGTTGGACTTTTGCAAGAATCGGGGGGCCATTGGAGCATTTTTTTTTAACAGAAAAAGTGTCCAATGCGGGGATCGAACCCGGGTCGTAGTGGTCGTAAACCAAACGGTTTAACCAGAACATAAAACAAGGTAATAAGACCAAATCCAAATAAATAAATAGTGTGTGATGTTTCTGTAACAGCATTGTTACCATCTTCAGTGCCTTATCAATTTTACAGAACATATGTAGCCCAAGGATTATCAGATCATCTATTAAACATTTTGCTGAGATAAACTTTGAAGGGAGAGAAAGTCCAATCTAATAGAATGGAATTGGTGCATGAAATCCAAATGGCACCTTTTAAATACAAAGTCAAACAGCTTTACATCTAGCTATACAAATGTTATATTTATTTGATATTTCAAAATTTGATGTATATTTGACGATGTATTTGTTGCCTTGTCCTTTTTTAGCAGAAAAGCTATTATCCAAGCAAAAATTTGTGTGAAATTTCTACAATTAACAAAAGCATATTTTCATGGTTTCCTTAAACACCATTATTAAAAATAAACCTTTAAATACAGAATATACAAGATGAATTAACATACAAAAGTTGTAGTTTAGATCTGGAGAATTATATTGACAAAAATTGAAGTTCACCACTGATCAAGTCAAGCCTTCTCAATTCTTTTTCAATTATGGGTTTATGTTTTGAATGGAAACATTCATACAATGCTTCTTTTTTTTTTTTTAATTAAGGATGAATTTTCTAATATTCATGAATGTGAAAAAGAATTGGAAAGGCTTAGGTCATCAGTAGTGAACCATCCCAGCGATATTTCACCAATGTAATCCACCAGATCTAAGCTACAACTATTGTATTGTCCATTCTGCTTATATAGTATCTGTATTTGAAAGATGCTTCTGTGATTGTAGGAGTTTCACAAATATTTCAGCATGGAGTCATGGTTCTTCCACTCAAAGGACAACAAATACAAAAGTTTGTTTGGAAAACATAATTAAACAATATACATGATAAGGTACAATTTGGATTATCTATATATATAAAAATCAATGTTTGTATGTTTGTTTGTTTGTATGTCCGGTATACAAATTCGCAGTAGTTCACTAATTCAAACCAAAATTTCCATACATAGGTAAAAAAATACGGGGAAGACGATAGGCTATTTTAAAAAATATATAAATCAATTATTAAAACTATATATTCAAATTATTCTACTTAGCTCACGAACAGCGCCCTCTATCAAAGATTAGATTAAATTATGCTGATGCAAACAAATAGATAATGCTAATAACAAACAATTATATAAAAAAATCTTATCTAAATATATATCACTAGGGTAGATATGCACACGGGTCAATCCCGGGGCGAAGCCCGGGTCACCCGTCTAGTAGATTAAAAACAAGGTAATAAGATCAAATCCAAATAAATAGTGGGTGACATTTCTGTAGCAGCATTGTTACCATCATCAGACACAAAAGTACTGAATTATTACCTTGTGTTTATAAACAATATAAATGTCAGCATAAGCTATACCAAACCTCTACTAACCATGATTATCATGGCTTGTACCATAGGCATGTGTATCTACTTGGGATAAAAAATGAAATAAAATTTTATATATTTTAATTCAGTAGGCCTCAAGGAAGAGCTAACATTCAAAAGTTAGATGATTTTATAATAAAAAGAATGACAAAAAAAAAGAAAATAAGACCTAATCCAAATAATTTATTAATGTGTGACGTTTCGGCAACAACATTGTCACCATTATCAGACAAAAGAGTAAAATGTCTGATGATGGTGACAATGTTGCTGCCAAAATGTCATACACTGATACATTATTTAGATTAGGTCTTAAACACAAGGTAATAAGACCATATCCAAATAAATAAATAGTATGTGACGTTTCGGTAACAGCGTTGTTACCATCTTCAGACAAAAGTACTCAAGTATCCAAATTGTGCCTTATCAGGATTAGGTGTATTATTTTCTTTTTTATTATTATTATAATCTATAATCCAAATTGTACTTTATCACTTTTTTTTTTAATTATCCCTAGTACACGTGGTACAGGCCATGATAATCATGGTGGGTAGTTAGCGACTGCTTTTTACTTTAAGCGCACCACATGTCTACACATGTGAAAAGCAGTTCGACTTTGCACTTACAAATGTGCCAGAGCCCCGTTTGGTTACTTGCACTCGCTGGTGGGGTTGGACTTTTGCAAGAATCGGGGGCCATTGGAGCTTTTTTTTTTTTTTTTTTTTTAAATCAGAAAAAAGTGTCCAATGCGAGAATCAAACTCGGGTCGTAGTGGTCGAAAACCAAACGGTTTAACCAGCCTTCCACCGACCCCCCACTTTATCATTTTAAAAATAACAAGCTTTCCTTCTTTTCCTCTTATCACCTGCTAATTAAATTACAATCAATCACAAGGCCTGGTGTGAACGAGAGGTGTAGTTAAAGCAGGAGAGAAAGGAATGCTATACTAAGTTACTCTGAGAAAACAGGAATATTGACCCTCAACCTGGGTGTGGGTAGAGGAACAATAAGATAAGATTTAAAGCCAAATAAACATGAGATATTGTGAAAGATTAAACACCTTTCTTTTTTCAAGTAAAGATCACAAATGTTTGCTGATATCTAATATTTGCTTGAAAAACAATATGTTTATATGTTATAGAAATATTAAAAGTTTCAATATAAAATATCCAAAACATGCCTTGTGAATTGATAGTGTTTATGGATTGAGAAATCTCTCTGCAAGGTAATAAGACCAAATACAAATAAATAGTATGATATTTTGGTAATAGCATTGTTACCATCATCAGACAAAAGTACTGAATCAGTACTAAAGGACTGAATTTTGTCTGAAAATGATAAAGTACAATTTGGATTATAGATTATAATTTAAAAAAAAAGGAAATAAGACTTAATCCTGATAAGGCACAATTTGGATACTTCAGTACTTTTGTCTGAAGATGGTAACAATGCTGTTACTGAAACATCACACACTATTAAATTGATTTAGATTAAGTATCTCTCTGTCATGATGGTTGTCAAATAAGCTTGATACCCTAATATGATTGAGTGGAGATAAGAAAGAAGAAGAGAAGAAGTTTCTCTCTTATTACCTTGTGTTTCTTATCTACAATCCAAATTTTACAAAATCAAAAAAAGTATTTGTATTAATTACATTAGATAAGAGGGGTCGGTGGAAGAATGGTCTAAACCGTTGGTTTTTGACCACTACAACCCGGGTTCAATCCTGTTAAAAAAAAAAAATGATCCAATGGCCCCCGATTCTTGCAAAAGTCCAACCCCACCAGCGAGTGCAAGTAACCAAACGGGGCTCTGGCACATTTGTAAGTGCAAAGTCAAACTGCTTTTCACATGTGTAGACATGTGGTACACTTACAGTAAAAGCAGTCGCCTACTTCTACCCACCATGATTACCATGGCCTGTACCACATGTACTAGGAATAGGCAAAAAAAAAACCATTACATAAGCTGGTATATTACATGAAATATTCCAAATTATAAACTATTTGTACAATTTTTTCTTTTAAGAAAATAAACAATTATCTACTGCCCTTACTGCAATGATTAAATATTGGTAGAGCCTTGGAGGGTTCCCCACTGATGAGCCAGGCCCTCCCAATATTTCATCTTTGGAATTACAATGATAGGGAATCTATTATTAAAAAAAAAAAAAAATATGCATTCACTCATAGACAAAACTTAAAGAAATTGTACCTAGCATGTATATCGGGATTCAAACAATAAATCTGAATATTTAATACACAGTGACCTTGAAGACACAAGATAACCAAATGTGAACAAAATTGTCTCTGTCTCCTTAAAAAAAAATTTAAAAGACAACCAGCGACTTTTCACTTCCATAAGTTTTGTCTATGAGTGTAGATTAGTAACACAAGGTAATATGACTAACATTTATTTATTTGGATTTGGTCTTTATATTTATCTTGTGTTGTAATATTTAAAAGTAAGAGAATGCCCTTTAGTACGGTGTCGTGAGCCCTGAGCTGCTACAGTAACCATGAACAGGGAATTCTGAAATGTGTCTGACTAACAGGGCAATGGCATCCCCCTTTCCATGAGGCAACAAAATCACCACCCATTATTTAAAATTTATAATTGATAAAAAGCTGAAAGTAATAGTTTCATCATTGTTAACACAAGGTAATAAGAACAAATCCAAATAAATAAATAGTGTGTGACGTTTCGGTAACAGCGTTGTTACCATCTTCAGACAAAAGCACTGAATGAGAAATTTTACCACAGCATGTTTTAAATAGTTTAAATTGTGCCTTATCAATTTCATTATTGATTTCTTACTTAGAATATATTTGATTGTATATATAGAAAACTATGGCACAATCCTGGATTGAAACACTTGATAGTTGATCTTTCTTTTTCTTCTGATTGCTGATAATTTGGTGAATTGGGGTTTAAAGAAATACTTATATCACAAATGCCATTATTCCAACTAATATTAAGCTCATATAATAGTCTTTGTTTTAAAACTAATTTTACCAATTTTTATGAAAAATAGACACTTCGGCCAGTTAGAGTTTTTTTATTTTCTTAACGTTTCGACAAAAATCTTTTGTCTTCATCAGGAGCCTTTCCAAATGCTTTATTTTTATTTACTTCTCCTGACGAAGACAAAATATTTTTGTCGAAACATTGAGAAAATAAAAAACTCCTAACTGGCCGAAGTGTCTATTTTTTATATAAATATGAATGCCGGCCAGGCAGCCTCTATCTTTATGATAATTTTACCAACTTATATATCTTAAAATTATACAATAAATATTACACTTTGAATTGTGAAAGAAAATGATTCAGTTGTCTCTCGTATTTATCAATTTATATATTTATATACATAATGTTCTCTTTAATCTAATTATTTTAGGGGGGTCAGTGGAAGGCTGGTTAAACTGTTTGGTTTTTGACCATTACGACCCGGGTTCGATTCCCGCATTGGACACTTATTTCTGTTTTAAAAAAAAAAAAAATTAAAAATGCTCCAATGGTACCCCGATTCTTGCAAAAGTCCAACCCCACCATCGAGTGCAAGTAACCAAACGGGGCTCTGGCACATTTGTAAGTG